CATTGAATAAAAAGGCTCACCTTACGTATATTACCATTATTCTTGTTGTTACCGGGGTTATCATTGCCATTCAGGCTGAACTGAGTTTTCATCTATTTGGTTTTATCATGTGCACTTCATCAACAGCAGCAAGTATTCCATGAACTTCTTTTTGTATATGGCTCCTATAACTGATATGTTTCTACTTCCTACAACACTCATTATGGAAGAAAACATGATCGTATCACAACTGGCCCTTGCCCGAAATGATATCAAGATCAATTGGTATCTCTTATTCAATTCGTCACTAGCACATCTCATGAATTTGACCAACTTTTTGGTCATACCAGCATCTCACTTATATTCCCATTGACTTTTGCTCTTGGTGTCTTTGTAACATCATACAAAAATTCTGAACATTATGCAAAGAGGTTCATTGGAAAACATATGGGCAGAAGCCACAGGAAAGAATGAATGTGTTGTCAAATGTTTTACGAACATCAGAGCATAAACCACATGAGATGATGAATGTGTTGTCAAATATTTTACGAACCAGTTATTCTGATATTGAACCAATGTTGTGATCATATGATTTCTATTTATGGACCCAAGATGAAGTTTGACTTCTTCAACCCCAAGGATAGAAGTGAGATATGATGAAGATTTCTTTCCACAGAAGGAGAGCTGAAATTTTAACAATAATAAACTAGTGGAGCCAACTAAGATTGAACAATAGGTTGTTGTTAAACATCTCGACATGATATGGTCCAAGTTTCCTTGTTCAAAAATCTGATTAGATGTGGAGACAGGAAAGGAATTAGGATAAATCCTCCTTGTGATGTGTTTCAAGAGTCAAATCAGAATAGACATTGCTCTCCTAATTAATCCCTGCTGAGTTTAGCATATCGACATCTACATTCTTCAAAGATGATAGATTCTCTTTTCAAAGATGATAGATTCTCTTTTCAAAGTTAAAAACTTTATTAGATTTCTACACAAGTCTAGAATAAGAAAGTCAATGTTATCAAAGATAAAAATGGGGCATCCAGTTCATAATTCTGATTACGGCAAGAGTTCTATAAATGAAACATTTCTTCTAAGACTTTAATGCAAATGAAGAAGACACAAAGATGCAGGTGGATCAGATGGTTCATCAGAGATATCAGTTTGAAATGACATTTTAATTAAGTGACGGAAGACTGAGTTCGCCACTTTGAAGTCACATGAAGATTGCATCAACATTTATGCATTCATAAGAACATCATTTGCATAAAAAATGCATTACATTGATATATTTGATTGCATTCAAACATAAGGTTTTTTTTTTTCCAGATTTTCGTATGAAAAAGAAGATTCATGATGAAAAATACCTTACAAAAAGAAGGTAGAATTCAAAACCTCAAATACAGGAATCATACAAACATCTGAAGAATAGATGGTCGCAATCCACAAAAGAAACATTATTTTGAAATAGGGCATGCTACCCAATCAACAAGTTATTTTGAAAAATGAGAAAACGATTTCCAAAGTTTCTCATTCAATCTTTTCTGAAAATGAAATTATTGAATAGTAAGAAAACGATTTCCAAAGTTTCTTACTTAGTAAACTATTTCCCAAATTTATGAGTCCTACGGGCCATCTATAAGACCTTCAGTGCAGGATGTTTTTCAAATAGTAATTTATCTCAATTGAGATTGTTTTTCTTAAAACAAACTGCGTCTCTTGAGACAGTTTTACTCGAAATAGAAATTTATCTCACATGAGATTGTTTTTCTTAAAACAAAATTTGGCTCGCTTGAGACAGTTTCACTCGAAACAACAATTTATCTCACTTGAGATTGTTTTTCTTAAAACAAGATTCGTCTCGCTTGAGACAGTTTCACTAGAAACAAAAATTTCCACCACTCGATGGACCAACATTTCCAGAGGAAGTTCATAATGAGAAGAACTCATCTGAAAAGAAAGAAGAAGTTCATAATGAGAAGAACTTGTTCAACCTTTTGCTTGACTCTATCACAGAAGGAGATAGATCAGCACCAACATTTCCAGAAGAGTTCATAATGAGAATAACTCATCTGAAGAGGAAGAAGAAGTTCATAATGAGAAGAACTTGTTCAACCTTTTGCATGACTCTATCACAGAAGGAGATAGATCAGCATCAACATTTCCAGAAGTGTTCATAATGAGAAGAACTCATCTGAAGAATGAGAAGAAGTTCATAATGAGAAGAATTTGTTCAACCTTGCCTTAATTCATCATATATGAAGCTGAATCAACAACCCCTGTTTTGAAGATCAACATTTCCATAAGGAGTTCATAATGAGAAGAACTCATCTAAAGAGGGAGAAGAACTTATTCAACTTTTTGCTAGATTGCATCATAGAAGGAGATGAATTGTCATCCCCATTGAAAGAGTTCTTAATGAGAAGAACTTGTTCAATATTGCCATCCTACAAGTGAAGTCAAATGGATAAAAAAACTTATTATCTTTTCGTCTTTGCCCTATTCTTGTTAACACAAGAATGAGCAAAGAGGGGCAACTAAATATACTAGTTTTTTTCATCCATTTGTTTTTATTTATATTATAAATATTATTATAAATATTATTATAATTATATTATTATTATTAATATTATTATTATTAAATAATAAATAATTAAAAACATTATTACAGGCCCAAAATCGGAGCCCAATTACAACAGTGACCCAAAACCCAATCTGGTCCAGACCCAAACCCGGAGCCCAAATGTGTATCTCTAAACCCAGTTAGGGTTTACATCTCATCATTTAGCCGCCGATGCCATCCATCGTTGGATATGGCAAGATCCAAAGGTCCAAAGTTCTCCAACAAGAAACCCTAGGGTTATGATACCCTAGGGACCACGCGACGCCACCTTCACATCCACCATCTGCTGTCGATGCTGCTGCCGCTCCGACGCTTCACCAAAGCCACCATTAACTGCCACGATATAGCACACGTTATGACCCTATGGTGAGTCACCACCGTTAGACCGGTTCGAGACAAGAATCGTGGTGGCCTATAAAGCCACCACCTAACCTGCAAAGGAAAAAACACCAACAGACGACGAGAACGAGGAACACGAGCAACAAGCACTACCACATCAACCAACAGTCACGAAGAACAACACCCAACAACAGCCAAATAAAGAAGGAGAAGAGAAAAGGAGACTTACCGAGGAAATTGCAGTCATCGGAGACTCTATACGCCGCCGTAAAACCGAAAGGTCGAAGGTAAAGAGAGATAGATCTACTTTGATTTAAAGGGTTTTAGGCTAAAAGAAGTTTGGATTCAGGTATAGAAAAATCAAGGCTTTGATTTGGGTATCTTTGTAAAATCCAGCCACCGCCACCGGCGTCGGAGCACAGTTGCCGGCTGGAGATGTTTTAGAGAGAAGGAAGAGAAAAAATTTCTCTCAGTTAGAGAGAGAAAAATAAAGGAAAAAAATGAGGGAAATGGCCATAAGGCCGGCCAATTTAGGGTATTTATACCCCTTCCCAAACGGCGTCGTTTTGGGGTGGGGTGTATCTGTAATTTCAAAAAATGGGTAAATCATACACGTCGCCATTAAAGTTTTGCAAACTTTTATTTTAGTCACTACAGTATGTTTTCGTGCATTTTAATTTTGTTTTGTAATTTTGTTTTATTTATATTTTAGCCACTATTTAGTATTAATAAATATTTAGGGTAAAACAACCTATTCAGTCCCTTATAGTTTTAGTATTTTTTATTTTAATCCCGTATTAATATTTATGGTTAAATTACAATGTTAATATTCTTACTTTATGATATTTCGAATTATTTACATTAATTTTTTTATATTTTTCAATTTAATCCTATAGCTTTTAATTCCTTTTATTTTGACTATTTAATTGCAATTTAATTTTATTTGTATCCTTTTAATTTCAATATGTTTAAATTAATACTTTGAATAAATTATAATATTTATTTATTTTATTATTTATTTTTTTCTATTAAATAAAAATTTTATTTATAAATTTAATTTTATTACTTTTATAAACATATTTTAAATATTTATTAAGAAAAGAGTTATCTTAAAGCAACTAGAAGTCATTTTTTGATATTTTTAAATAACTAAATATCCTACTTTTATAAATTATATATATAGTAATTTAATTTATTTTAATTATTTTTAGAGAAATATTTTATTAATATTTATTTATTTTTAGAGAAATATTTTATTAATATTTATTTATTTTTTTATATTAAGAAAATGACTGTCTTAAAGCAACTAGAAGTCTTTTTTTGATATTTCTAAGTAAATAAATATCTTATTTATAAAAATATAAAAATATATATTTATAAAAATTAATATATTTTCTTGGAATTATACTAATAAATTTGAAATCACAGGATTATAAATTAAATATATATTTAAATTTTTAATTTCCAATAATGGAGACAATTTATAATTAATGGGTATCAATTTTAGGCGTTATAGGGGTGCTAATCCTTCCCTAAACGTAACCGACCATGAATCTTTTCTTTACTAATATTTTTTGTTATACGCAAATCAGTTTATCTTTTAAATTATTTTTCTTAAAAACTATTTTAAAATATTGTTTTTAGGTATTTGACATACCTAACTCAAAAAGGACAATGACGACTCCCAAAATATTTTTTAAAATCAAAATCATTTATTTATTCATTTTATTTTTCCTGCCAAGTAAAAATTCGTACCCGGTCAAAAATCGGTTACGACACTCTCAATCTAAGGAGAAATTCACTCACTAAAGGGGGGGAAAAAGATAGATAGAAAAATGTTGAAAAAGATATTCTTAAATTAACCAACATTAGCTTTGATGCAGATTATGCCTTTAAAAGCTTCGGCACTGCATGTTTCAAATTAGTTGAAAAGAAGGAAGAATCAAGGAAATAAAGCTTGTCGAGTGAGTTAAAACAAGCAGCTGCAATGGAACTCGAAACAAATGTTGTAATCCTTAAACAAACAGGCAAGCAAGAAAGTGTTTTAAGAATAACCCTGTAGGCCCACTGTCATACTTAACAGTGCAATTTCATTCTTTCCCGCCTTCAGAGAAATTGGATTCTTAAATTTGAAGGGTGAATGCGAGCCATTTCCAGAAGCACTACCTGTAAAATGTCAGCAAAACTTTTTAAACTTATTACAAATATGTCCACCTGACAGACTGATAGTAAACCTGAGGAAATACAATGTCATACAAACTATAACTTGCACATAAATCAATTAACGATACCCAAATAACTAAAGAGCATCTTGGAACATCAGAATAACCTTGAAGTTTTTGGTTCACAGATGCATGAAGAGCGTGACCCTTTGACTCAATAAGAAGGACTGGACGGCTTGCCTTCTTCAGAAATTCTTCATTTTCACCAATAGTTATGCTGCAATCAAAGGATCGTAGTATTAGCTGGGAAGGCTATATTAAAATATGATGGAAGATAAAACGAGAAAATTCAAACATATATGAATACCAAAGTTTCATATCATAAAAACTAAAAAGTTTCATATAATTAATCCAGATATGGGGGAACAACTTGAGAAGCTCCTAATTTACTAAAATCCATTCCCTTTCGTGCCTATTTGTCAATCCTTTATTCATCCAAATCCTATTAAACTCCTAAAGGCAAAAATTTAGCCAATTGCACAGAGAAAGACAAACCTTGTTGTACACCACAGGTAGTCGGTAGTATCTTTAGTGGTGTTTATTTGATCCACAAAACCATTTTTAGTGGAGTCAGCCACTCCCCAAACTCCAGCATTCTCCGTAAATATATCCCATTTAAGACCATTCAAGCCTTTACTTGGTGATGCGGCCGATGGCTGCAACTCCTCGGGTACCATTTCAACTACAGAAGCAAGGGGACCTACCTGTTGACATCAGGCAATGGATGAAATGTTCAAACATTAACGTTTGGAAATATTAAAAACAAAAATGGAAATATACCTTCGCCGTGTTAAACACAACATTCATACAGTCAGAGAGAATGCCGACTGACCATGAAGGCAGGTGATATGCCACATTCCGGAACACAACATTTTTGTCAGTTTTGTCATCCAGGTTAGCAAGAAAGGCAGCGCACACTCCTGAACCATCATCATAAACATCCGCCTGCAGTGAAGTAGTTGTTCAGATAATGATAGTCGGTCAAAGGAACAGAGTAACTTGCCGGTAAAGACTTGCCGCGTTTTTCTTTGATTTATTTTTTGCCGACAAAATATCCAATAAATTTATCCAGATCTTTGGTTTCAACGAGAGTCCCAATTCTTTAAAAAGTCCAACCTTTAACCCCACAGGTTTCCATCTATTACAGTCTTATGTGGTTTTACAAATTAAAAAAAAATAATATAACTATAATAATTATTTTGAATAAAAATTAATTTAATAATATATATAAATTTTTAAAAATTAAATTATTATATTATATTACATCATCATTTTCATTAACAACCAGTAGTTAAAATTAAAAAAAATAATAACATTAATAACTATTTACGTAAAATTATAATATAATAAATATTAGCAAAAGAATATAATATAATAATTGATTTTTTTTTAATAAAAAGGTTATTCTCCTTAAAAATCTTTCATAATTTAATCGAACCAAATCAATTAAACCAGCGGAAAGAGAAAAGAATACTCGAAACTGTATCCAATTTAACCGAAATAGTTCAACAGCACAGTAAGACACAGCCTGAGTGAATACTTCCCAATAAAGCATCTAGCAACACACTGCGGATGACAAAAACCAAACGATTGAATTAAATACACTAGATTACTTAATTAAGAAATAGCTAGAGGCTTTAGGATAAATTATACGGTTCCTCAAACTGAATTAGGTGTCTTACAGTAAAATTAAGAGAAATGATGTTTGACAGGTAATTATTACACGTCAGAGTGATATTTCGGTAAAATTGCAATAAATTTGAGTATTATTATTATTTTTGATTAAGTTACGATTACAAAATAATATTTATTCTAAAAATTTTAGTATTATTATACATGCTGAACTAGTAATGGCTTTTTTTTTTATGTAAACCTTATCACAAAATATATCCTTATAAGTTCGAACATTTCGTTATGCATTTTTTTTCCGGAAATGATTTGGGAGAAGAAGTTTTTAAGTATTAATAGAGAAAAATATGCCTAATTCAATTCCTAACTTGCAAATAAAATTATTTTTAGGTATTAATTTGAGAAGATAGGTGTAGTTTAAAATATTATATATATTAAACTAATTTATGATAAAATCACCATTGAACTCAATTTACTTATCCTTAATTTAAAAAAAAATCAAATTAAATGAAGTTTACAAAATAAAAATTATCAACTTGATTCCGATTACTTGAAAATTAAAAGGAAAATTGCCCAACAAAATACCTTGAAAGGCCAAATGCGAAGGAAGGCGTCCACAAGAGATGTTTGGAGGAGCGTGTCATCGAAACCTACCATAGAAAAGAGAAACCCATTATTTCACAAAGTAGCAGCAGAGCAATCACTCCCATTGTCCATTTGATTCAGTCTTTAATGGCGTTCCTTGCTTCTTCTGCTTCGGTTGCTGCACTCCTGCCTTTCAACAGTACTCTCTCTCTCTCTCTCTTCCTCTCTCTATTATTGTTTTTATTTCTTACGATCTGTTTTCCCAACAAATACAAGTTTCTTTTTCATTAGGACTTTTTAGCGGGGGGAATGGTAAGAGATGGAATCGACTGTGTACTGGTTACTCGGCTAGGTTGAGGGCTGGACCCTCCGCTTTATCCAGGTTCAGGGCATCCAATTTTTCTTCAGCCGCGGCTGGAAATGCTGGCGGAGCTCCGCCGTTACCAGAAACATCTGAAGCTAATAAAACGCCGCCTCCTATTTACGCATGGCCTAATAAAAAGGTTTGATTAACATATGATTTGATAAACTATGGAGTAAGAACGGACCATTGGAAATTCCCAACTACTAATATGAAGCTTTGTTGTGAGGACAGATGAACTTGCAAAAATCCTGTCATATTTGTAAAATTATATATATGCAAGTGGCTTCCTTGAATATGACATCATTACATAATGGTTTCTTGAAGCTCTAAAGCTGGTACCTTTTGACATGAAACAATCGAAAAGGGACAGAAAAAAAAACGGTGTTAGAAATTTGAGCTGTTTTATTCTTGTGTGAGTTTGTGATGGATCTCTGTTTACAGAAGCCAAGAGTGTGCATTTTGGGCGGTGGATTTGGTGGTTTATATACTGCTTAAGGCTAGAATCTCTTTTATGGCCTGAGGATAAGAAACCTCAGGTATGTTGAGATCGAATTCTTGTGTGTTTTAGTATGTAACCCTGAATTTGTAAGAAATCCGTGAAGTTTAGAACCTTGAATACAGGCATCTATTGATTGCTTCTCCATGATGTGCATAGGCATATGTCTTTATGTTTACGTCCCTTGATATTAAAAGAGGATGGTATCTAAACACTTTTACCGTGACATTTCATTTTCACCCGTTCTCAACTGATTTGGTTACTTCATCGAATGTGGGATCAGGTGCTTCTAGTTGACCAGTCTGAACGGTTTGTTTTTAAACCAATGTTGTATGAGCTTCTATCTGGAGGTATTTTTTCTGGATTAAATTCTGAGAACATGATTTCGTGCTTCTACAGAAAATTTATTGTACTTTCTTTTCAAATGCAATCAAGAGCTTGATTGCTGTTTGACAATTTTTTGATGCAGAAGTAGATGATTGGGAAATTGCTCCTCGCTTTTCTGAGTTACTGGCAAACACAGGTGTTCAGTTTCTCCAGGACAAGGTAAAAATATTACATCCGTCTGACCATTGGGGAATGAATGGCCATAAACAATCAAGTTGTGGTGGCACTGTGCTGCTTGAAAGTGGCCTTCTCATTGAGTATGACTGGTAAAATTTTGTTACCCTGACCACCAATCGTAGTTGCTTATGATGAAAACTTTCTAGGTTCTCTTAAAGACCACTTCTTATTGACTTTGTTGCTTCCTCCTCTCTTCTTATGCTATATTTCTTGACCTAAAGCCGCTGAATTAAATATTATAAATATTCAATGAGAAAAGGAATATGTATTGGTCTTGTATGGTTCTAACACTATTATTCATCGCTTGGGCAACATTTATGAACTTTGCATAAGTGGTTTTCTTGAGTAGCATACATACATATTTGTTATTATTGTGACTTCATTGACTTTTTGAATACCCATCTGATACCAGTTTTACCTTATCTTGGGCAGCCAGGTTGGTTCTTGCTTTGGGAGTTGAAGCTAAACTTGATGTTGTACAAGGTGCTTTAGAGTTTGCATTACCATTTTCCACCCTAGATGATGCATGTGTAAGAGTCCTCCAGCTACCCCCTTAATATCTCGCCAAAGTCTTCATTTAGCTTCTAGTTTGTTGTTGGATTATATATTTTAAATCCTTACATTTTTTGCTTTGTTCTGCAGAAAGTTAACAAGAAGTTAAGAACATTGGAGCGGATGAAGTTTGGTAAAGATTCTCTTATCTGTGTGGCTGTAGTTGGTTGTGGCTATTCTGGAGTGGAATTAGCTGCTACTATCTCAGAGAGACTACAAGATAGAGGGATAGTACAAGCTATTAATGTTGAAACCACTATCTGTCCAACTGCCCCAGCTGGAAATAGGGAAGCTGCCTTAAAAGTAAGATACTAACTTTTTGAAAACATGAGAAATCTGCCCTTTTTTCTTCTTATGTTCCCATGATTTTTCAATATTAAATGATAAAATGTGTAGAGAGGTTTATTTGGTTTTAAAGAAGAAAAGGAATTTGTCTTCTTTTACATTTTATTTATAGAGTTCATGTATGATGGTTGCATGACCAAGTATTATCAGTTTTCCAAATAGTAATGAGCTTAAATTTGGCATCAACGTTGATCCTGGTAATGCATGGATTTTCAAGTCATATTGGGGAACCTATTAATCAATGCATGCCTTTTTTATGGTGACCTATTAATTTCCTTTCTGGAAAGTCCAATTTTTCTACTATTAGGATAATTTAATTTGAAACACTACTTGATTCACTTTTCCTTTTATTTGTAGATAAGGTGCTCAAATTCTGCAAAAGTATATCTAATTTTTTACTGAACAGCATGTATTGCATTGTTATTTCAGTTTTAAGCAGAAGTTGAAGCGTGAATTTCCTCGTTGTTAATGCTCTCGTTAATAAATATTATTTCAAAGAATCAGGCTTGGGAGCTTTGAGCCTAATGTGATTAGATATGTCCATAAGCATCTAAGGTTCTTATGATTGTGTCTTATGAATGCTTTTAATTCACATGTTTGTAGTATGTAAATTTTAGTTGTTGTAGCAGCCTTAACTTTGGCTTTAAAATGTTTCTGCTATTGAACTAGGTTCTTTCATCTAGGAAAGTGCTATCTAAGAGACTTAGCTGCTGTGTTGGTGACGTTATTAGTCAGTCTCAGTTCGCCTTTATACCGGGGAGACAGCTGCTGGATTGTGCCTTCATTGCGAATGAGGGAATTGATTATTGGAGAAAACAAGGGTTGAGAGGAGTAGTGTAACATCCTCCATGTCGGGTTAGTGATTAATTTGCAAAGTTTCAACATTTGGTGATTAAAGTAGAATAATTATATAGTTTAAATAGTATGGTTAGTAAATATGAGATGGGGTAAGGACCAAATGGTCATTTGCAAGGAATTTCTAATTAAATAAAATGTTATGGGGTATATGAGACCACGTGTGATTTTAGGTTCCAGAACCTCCCATTTCTTCTCCTTCTTCCTCATTTTCTTCTCTCCTTCTCTCAACGTGTGGCTTGCAATTAAAGGTAAGAAACTGAACTTGGTAGTTTCTTTGATTGTTAAGATTGGATATGAAAGTTTGTATGTTATATAGGCTAAAGGAAAGCTTATATGACATTAAAACAACAAGATTAGTGTTTTAGAGATAGATTTGGAAATGAGTTTTTAGATGAAATTTTGATATGGATGAGTTTTTGATGTTTGAATCAGATTTTGACTTGTCAATAAGCTAATTAAGAAGTATGAGGGGTTAGAATTCAAATTAGACATATTGGAATTTGGGTTGGATTCTTAAATTCTACATGGAGAATTGGATTTCTAGGTTTTAGAGGTATTTAATGGATAATTAGTTTAAGTAAGTGATGAGAGCTAAGAGTAGTAAAGGGATTGAAATATGTATGTTTGAGCTAAAATGGGATGATTTCCGAGCTCAAATTAGGATTTCTGGGTTAGGGGAATCGGTACCCATTCAAGGGGAACGATACCCCCTCAACGAAATGAATTTCCAGAATGCTAGAGGGGAATCGGTACCCCAGGGGGGGAACCGATACCCCCTCATCGTATGAAATTCCAGATTGCTTGAGGGAATCGATACCCCCAGGGGGGAACCGATTCCCCCATGAGAAAAAGAAGAAGAAAGAAAGAAAGCAAGACTAAGCTATAAATTCTTTAAATTAGTAAGCTATTAAAGCTTAATTTCAAGACATAGACGTCTGATGATCATCTTAAAAATTATGTTTATGTAGATACCGAGCCTACTCGAGTTCGGGAACAATCTACAAGTAGGATCGATCGAGGAAAAGGCAAAGAAGTATAGGTGAGTGCATATGCATAGCATGAATATAGTATTATATTCAGTTCTAGACTTGTGATAAGTCTAGATTCCATATTTTGACATATGATCACATTCCATATTATGATACATGACATGAATTTATATTATGTGTATTGCATGACATGAATGCAGAAAAAGTTATATGAGCTATGTGATAAAGGTATGTAAATATGTCTATGTGATAAAGGTATGGAAATAATATGACTACGCGATATGAACTACGGGAAATGTATAAGCCCATGTTATGTAGATGAGAACTATAGGTATAGTTGGCATGCCAAGGGTAGAGGGTATACTCGGTTCTTTAGGACATATGTATATCCTTTGGAACCTGTGTGAAGTCTTGAAAGACACATACTTGATCCATAGTATATGTATATGATTCTTAAGGAATTCTACGTGGTCCTTATGGACATAATTCTCGGGCACTTCGGTGCAATTCTACGGGCACTTCGTGCAATTCTACGGGGCACTTCGGTGCATTTATAGCTGTTGACAGCATAGTGCACAACCTCACATTACTCAAATACCTTAGGTTCTCAATATGCTATCATGGGCCAATAAACTTATTAATACAGAATAATGAATGTTACAGTCATACGCTTACAGTATGGATATGATGAAGTATACTCCATTGATTAGTTACATGTTTGCATCTCATCTCATATGATCCTGACTTTTCATTACATTACATTGCCTTATGATTGTTGCCTCACTAAGTCGATGACTTAGCGTGTGAGTGTTTCACACGTAGGATCCGAGAAAATAGAAGAGACAGGTGAAGCAGCTTGACAGTATTACTCCTGCAACCATCAGATCAGAAGCAACTTAATCAGTAGGTCATTTTGTTATGTAATGATAGTTGCATGTAATTAAAGGGTTAAGTTGTATGCTCTGAATATTTTGGTAAACTTATACAGTATGTATATTATGGTATTTTCTAATAAGATCAAATATTTTACTATTATTTATTAAGTTGTGTTTAAAGTCAATGTAGTATCTCTGACTCATATCCGGGTCGGGTATGGGTTAGGGGTGTTACATTTAATGGTATCAGAGCTATGGTTTAGCCGATTCTAGGCATAACCAGAGTCTATGGAGTCTTTAAATGGAACATGCCAACAATAGTGAGAACTTCTGATCTGGTATATAGAGTATGTTGTTTAATAGGATAATGTTTATTCTTATTAGATGTCCGGACATAATAGCTCCGAAGTGAAGCGGGAGAAGATAGGCATGCTGAAAGCAGTAATTCACCTGCCCTGGCCAGGCAAGGAAGAACAGGCATCTCAAGGAGTGCCTGTACAAGATCAGATACGTTCTTCAGAACGTTAGACGCTATTTTGACGCGTCTTCAACCTCCTGTTCCACTAACTCCAAGAATTATGTAGCAAAAGAGTTGAGAGTTTAGGAGCTCCCGAATTTAAGGGAGAAGCTGAGGAAGGTCCGGTGTCAGCGGATCTTTGGTTGAATGATTTGAAAATCATGTTAGATGGTCTCCACTGTTCCGAATGGAATTAGATGGAGCTGTGTCTTTATTAAGGGTCAGGCTAGGATTGTGGACGAACGTCACCATGAGGATGTCAACCAACCAGTTGACTTGGTCTTTGTTTTTAGAAATTTAAAAGCAAGTATATTGGAGATCAGTTTATCCGACAAATGAAGCAGGAGTTTATGAATTTGAAGCAGATGAGCCGCTCTGTATATGAGTACGAATGTGAGTTTAATAAGCTGAGCAGGTTTGCAGCTGAACTTGTGCCTACTGAAAAAGATGCTTGCGAATGGTTCGTGGAGGGCTTGCGCCCTAGACTTAAAGAAATGTTGATAGTATTAAACTTGTCCTCGTTCCAGGAGGTGATCAATCGTGCAAAAGCTCTTGAAAGGGCTCAGAATGAAAGATTTGGGGACTCGAGAGTTCAGACATCAAAGAGGACGACTACTTATTCTGGTTCAACACCAACAAAAAGGGGAAGAGACTCGAGATTTCGATCACAAACTAGATCAGAATCAGTTGCATCGTCTGCTAGGGGAGCAAGTCAGGCAAGAACTAGACAGACGCAGTCAGTGGAATCTGGTGCTGGGAGATCTACTCCGGGTCAAAGGAAACAGTGTGAGCACTGCGGGAAAAACCATTATGGGGATTGTCGTATGGCAGCTGGGACTTGTTTTCGATGCGGAGAGGCCGGACATTTTGTCCGGGATTGTCCCTTGATTGTTAGTGAGCCGACACCATCTGGAAGAGCTGGTTCTTTCTCACAAAAAGGACGAGGAAGAGGCAGAGGAAGGAACCCGTCTGAATTCTCTGCTCAACCTGAAGTTCGATCCACTGCTCGAGTATACAACCTAAAGACAAGTGAAGATCGTGATGACCCTGATATTATAGCAGGTACGATCCGGGTTCTAATATTCTATATTACAAGTAAGTTAGTAAAGGAGTTGGGGATTCCCTTAGAAGCTACGAGTAATGAGATTATAGTAACGACTCCGTTAGGCCAAAGTGCCAGGGTGAATAAAGTTTGTAAGGGGTGTCCCATAAAGATTCAGGGAATTGAATTCCCTGCTAATCTGATGGAATTACCCTTTGACGAGTTTGAAGTGATTCTGGGAATGGATTGGTTGTTCCGGTATTATGGAGATGTTAGTTGCAGATTGAAAAAGGTAACTCTGAAAAGTCCAGACGGAATAGAGATAAGTGTGAGCAGTGAAAAGTTTAATCCTTTAGCAAATGTAATATCAGTGATGTCTGCCAAGAAATTATTGCTACAAGGATGTCAGAGTTTTCTTGCAAATGTGATTGATTCAAGAGCTCAAGAGAAAAGGTTAGAGGAAATTCCAATAGTTCGAGGTTCCCTGATGTTTTTCCTGCTGAATTGCCAGGATTACCTCCGGATAAGAGAGGTAGAATTTCAAATAGAAAATGCCGGGAACGCTCCGATAGCATGGCACCTTATCGAATGGCTCCTAAAGAATTGCAAGAGTTAAAGAATCAATTACAAGAATTGCTAGAGGGATTTATCCGACCAAGTGTATCGCCTTGGGGAGCTCCGGTGTTATTTGTTAAAAAGAAGGATGGATCAATGCGTCTTTGCATTGACTATCGACAGCTCAATAGGTGACCATCAAGAACAAGTATCCCCTTCCGCGCATTGATGATTGTTTGATCAACTAAAGGAGCTTCGGTATTTTCGAAGATTGATCTACGTTCGGGTTATCATCAATTAAAGATCCAGGAGAAAGATATTCCGAAGACAGCTTTAAGAACGAGATATGGTCATTATGAATTCATCGTAATGCCATTCGAGTAACGAATGCACCTGCTGCTTTCATGGATCTTATGAACAGGATTTTTCAGCCCTACTTGGACCAGTTTGTTGTTGTCTTTATTGATGACATACTGGTGTACTCGAAATCCCATGAAGAGCATATACACATCTGAGGATCGTCTTGCAAATTTGAGAGATAAAAAGTTGTATGCCAAATTGTCCAAATGTGAGTTCTGGTTAAAGGAAGTAATTTCCTGGGGCATGTGATCTCGGCAGTTGGGATTAGAGTAGACCCTCAGAAAGTTAAAGCTATAATGGATTGGGAAGTTTCCTAAAGAATGTGTCTGAAGTTCGGAGTTTTCTGGGACTTGCCAGTTACTATCGAAGATTCGTAAGAATTTTTCGATGATTGTGCTGCCTCTAACAAAGCTAATGAGAAAGAACGTACCATTTGTTTGGACTTCTGAATGTCAAGAAAGCTTCGAAGCTTTAAAGAGAATTCTGA